AATTCTATGTTCATAAAGTTGGATTACATTTGAATTTATCGGGTAAATCCTTGCTATTGGCTAGCATAATAATCAATAGAATTTCATATAAGAAAGTTAATAAAACCCCATATGACTTATAGTTTAATAAAAAATCCTCATTAAATTTTCTCAAAGTATGGGGATGTCTAGCATATGTGAGGCCCCCTGATCTTAAAAGATATAAACTTGGACCTAGAACCTCTAGATATGTACTTGTAGGATATGTTCAAATAATAATAACGTATATAGATTCTTAGAACTTAGTACAAATATTATAATAGAATCACGAGATGAAGAGTTCTTTGGGAATTTAACACAAAAAAATTAACCTAAAAATACCAATGTTCTACCAATTGGTGAAGACCAAATTGAAAATTAAAATACCAATGTTCTACCAATTGGTGAAGACCAAATTGAAAATTAAAATACTTATATTGAATCCATAGAAAATAATGAAGAGGTAATTAAACCTAGAAGAAGTAAAAGTACAAGAGGAGATCCAAAATATAATTTTTGCCCTGATTTTTATATGCCCCTAATAGAAACAAATCAAATTAAGGTATTAAATGCATTACCTGTTGCTTTATATGTGGAGGAAGATCCTTCCTCAATAGGGGAAGCATTGGCATCTCATGATGCAATATTTTGGAGAGAGGCCATTAACAGTGAAATGGATTCCATACTTGTTGATAAAATTTGAAAATTAGTAGACCTACCACTAGATTCTAAACCTATAGGGTATAAATGGATTGTTAAAAGAACCTTAATGTAGACGGATCAAGTAATAAATATACCACTAGATTAATAACCAAAGGTTTTACACATATGCGCTAGTGGGAAGGATATCTACTATACAGTTGCTTTTAGCAATAGTCTCAATTAAACATCTAGTTATTCACCAAATGAATTTAAAAACTGCATTCTTAAATGGTGAGATAGGGGTCATCATTTGGTGTGATGGTAAAAGGTTCAGGTAGCCAACGTAAGAATGCGGGTTTGAGTCTTGAGAGCAGTCACTTTATTTATAAAAAGCCAAAGGTTGGGACCGTTTCCAGCTCACCACTCCCAAGACCCTGCGTAGGCAGGACCAGCACCGGGTTACAACCCTTTTATTCTTAATGGTAAACTCGATGAAGAAATTTATATAGAACAACCTAAAAGGTACCTAAAAGGTTTATTATGTTTGTCATGAAAATAAAGTTTGTAAATTGATAAAATCTCTTTATGGACTAAAGCAGACACAAAAGCAATGGCATAAGAAGTTTGATATTGTATTGATATTAAATGATTTTAAAATAAATGAGGCAAAGAAATATGTATATAGTAAAGTAATTAATCATGTATGTGTCATTATATGTAAATATGTTGATGATATGTTACTCTTCCGCCCTAATATAAAAATTTGACCGTTTCCAGCTCACCCCTCCTAAGACCCTGCATAGGTAGGACCAGCACTGGGTTACGACTCTTTTATTCTTAAATGGTAAACTAGATAGAGAAATTTATATAGAACAACCCAAAAGGTTTGTTATGTTTGTTATGAAAATAAAGTTTGTAAATTGATAAAATCTCTTTATGGACTAAACCAGGCACAAAAACAATGGCATAAGAAGTTTGATATTGTATTGATATTAAATGATTTTAAAATAAATCAGTCAAATAAATATGTATATACTAAAGTAATTAATCATGTATGTGTCATTATATGTAAATATATTGATGATATGTTACTCTTCGGCCCTAATATAAAAATAGTGAAGGAAACTAAAGGTTTTTGCATTTAACTTTGATATGAAGGATTTGGAAGAGGTAAATCTGATACTAGGTATCAAAATAGTGAGAAAAGAAAATGAATTAATTTTAACTCAATCTCATTACGTTGAAAAAATGCTGCATAAATTTGAGCATATTGATTGTAAGTCAGCCTACTCCAATAGATCTTCGTATAAAGTTGAACAGAGATGTATATATCAATTAAAAGTATGCTAGAGTGAATAGTAGTTTAATATATGCAATGAGAAGCACGGGGCCTAACATTGCATATGCAGTAGGCAAACTTAATAGATATATAACATACCCTGATTGAGAGCAGGGAGATGCAATATCTCAAATATTAATGTACTTAGAGGGAATTATCAACTATGACATACATAATGTGGGTTATCCCGAGGTATTGAATGAATATAATGATGCAAATTGGAACATGAATGTCCAAGATTCACCATCAACATTTGGATGGATCTTTACCTTAGCTGGGGAATGATGTCATAGGGGTCAACTAAACATACTTGTATTTCACACTCTACAATAGATTAAGAAATTATTGCTTTAGATTCTGCTTATGAAGAAGCATAATGGCTTAAGAATATTTTATATGACCTACCAATGTGGCCAAAATTGATACCGGCAATCAGAATATATTGTGTTAATCTGCTATTGCGAGGGCATGTGATACAATGGTAAATCTAGATACATTGCGGGCATACATAATTCCATGCAAAATTAATAAGAAATTGAGTGATAAGTCTAGAATTTGAAGTCGAAGAATCATTTGGTCAATCCTTTGAAAAAAGGCTTGCAAGGGATTACATTACTAAATGTCAAGGACGATGAAATTAGAGTCCATAAAGTAATCATCTACAGTGGGAACCCAGCCTAGTCCATTGTAACCTCAAGATACTAGGTTCAACGTGATAATAACAAGTTGTATGAACGATGAATTTAATTACTAGACGAACCCATTCTAATACTATCCACACAATTAATAATATTTGTAATGACTTGTGTGTAAGTAGGTTGAGATAAGCTCTTAATGATGTCTATGAGTTGTTTATAAGTTAGAGTATATTAAATACAGGCGCGCTCTTGGTAGACACACCTATATAAATATGAAAGTGAGACCGATTCCTATGAGATGGGACTCGTCTCTAGAGCACATATGAAATTGGGATATAAACACAAAGTCCAAAATATGCTAACAGTTAAAGGCACCACATATGTCTAATGTTTGTGAGTTATATTGTCGATTTGTTCGATAACTTGCATGGTTCAAGGCCATAAGCCATCATGGAACTTGATGGACTTGTAGTGTATACTCTAAGTGAACGTTCAAATCGAAACATACCTTCATGGTATGTAAATATTATATAGCTACCTATTATTTTGAAATAGTGGAAGAAATGTCAATATTTTAGTATAAATAAAATATTTTAATTTATGGAAAGCATATAATGAAACCATTTACCTTTGGTACAAGGTGATCACAATTAATCTTGACCATTGGATGTAGAATTGGGTGGCTGCAGTTATTTCATTGACCAAACTCAAAGTTCAAAAGATTTTTTTTCGAACTTTATGACAAACCCAAGCTATCAGATTTCACGTCGGATGGTTGTAAGTAATTGTGACCTCTGTACCAAAGGTAAATGGTCTCATTGTATACAATCCCTTTAAGTTAATTCAAAATAATGTATTATTTTCACAAGTTTTAAATGAATAGAGAGAGAATTAGTGGGTTTTAGTCTCACATTGAAAAGTGGGGTGTGAAAAGAGTAGTATAAATATAAAAACACTCTCATTCTTTATGTTCATGGAACAAAGGAGAAAATGTGAGCAGTTGCGTAGAGTACACGAAGTATTTGCGCATGTGAGGGTGCTTGATAACGCATTTTGCACTTCGCACACTCGCATGCAGCACCCCTCACCCGAACACGTGTACTGGCCAACCTCGGGGTTCGGTCCATTTTTGTGTAACACGACTCGTGTCGACACGTGCACAAAGGCATGCAAGCGTGGCACCTACAAGCTCCAACAGCAAGGACACTCTAACCATTGAGACTATTCAATGATCCAACAATTAATAACCGTTGGATGATGACTGTTGGAAACCCCACAGTTACTCGTCCTGTGAACAGTCACTATTCACTAAAAAAATCTTTTTTTCTTTTCGTTTCAATCACCTTTTACTATTTCGAATTCTCTCTCTCAATATTTTCCTACTACCTTTATCTCTCTGAAAACACAAAAACGAGCCACTTTTTCTCTCCAAATTCAAACAACTCTAATGCTAAGTAAACTTGCCTATATTGTGCAAAATTAGGTGAGTATTTTCATCGACCTTCTGTTTACAGATCTCCCGAGGACTGATTTGCCAAGGTTACCCTTTTGCATGCTATTATTCTATCTATTTCTTTCATTCCTTTATTACTATAAATTTTAACCCCCTTTCACCCCCCCTACACCGGTTCTTCAACATATGTTAGGTCTTTAATGGAAGTTTTCTTCTCACGGTACGATCAAAAAGATATCAACATATTGGAACAAACCAGTTCTTCAACATTTGTTAAGTCTTTAATGGAAAGTTTTCTTGTCATGGCAGGATAAAAAAGATATTAACATATTGGAACAAAATTGAGAGACTGTTGCGAAGAATTGAGAGAGAAACCTAGGTTTTCCTGTTTCAATTTGTATATAAAATAAGATGAAATCATACCCAAGCTGACTCGCCCAAGTCACACAAGTCCACGCGAGATCTGACCCAAGTACCCTATGGGGCCAATCCGACTCGCAAATTCCCAAGTTTGATCCACGATTTTTAGACCATAGATTTTACCATGGGTGTGAAGGGAGGAAAAGCTCAAGAGGGAACCTTTTGCCATTTAGGAATGAGCCAAAGCATGAATCATCCTATAGGAACACATTGTGTTTCCACGTTTAATGAAGTTTCCAAATTTCGCTGGAACCCCACCAGTATCCGGGGGCTCCTATCACGTATGTGGTGTAATGTACATACTCAAAAGAGAGAATGTTTCAACTCCACCTAAAGAATTGGCCAAATATCATTTGACTAAAGCTCCAAATCACTTATGGTGTAGCATTAACCCCAGTACAACAGGCATATCAAATGGTGGCATGGTTGAGCCTTCCCATATTTCTTTTACTTTCACTATTTCATTGGGAAAAACAACAAGATCAAAAAAGGAAACAAATGTGTAAGGCAGTTATGTCAACAGGTTTCAATAAGAACTCGTCAGCAAACAAATGTGTAAGGCAGTTATGTCAACAGGTTTCAATAAGAACTCGTTAGCAAAAACTACATTCTCAAGAAACACAAGAAGAGATCAAAAAAAAGATACGCTAATCCGAAGAAATAGAAGTCAGGTATGGGGGGCAGCTTCAGTGTCAAGGGAGGCCATGCTTCTCGTAAGGTCCCCAAGAACCAGTGCTATATGCAGGAGGACCCTTCTCCCGACTGTACCTTCCATCATCGCCGTATGCTCCTGGAAATTCCCTATCTGGGCTCCCTTTCATCATTCTGTAACCCCAACCTAAAACAAACCATCGAAATGAAACACTCTTATATCCTCTATGAAACTATTATCAAACTTCTAATCCGAAGAAATAGAAGTCAGGTATGGGGGGCAGCTTCAGTGTCGAGGGAGGCCACGCTTCTCGTAAGGTCCCCAAGAACTAGTGCTATATGCAGGAGGACCCTTCTCCCGACTGTACCTTCCATCATCGCCGTATGCTCCTGGAAATCCCCTATCTGGGCTCCCTTTCATCACCCTGTAACCCCCACCTAAAACAAACCACCGAAATGAAACACTCTTATATCCTCTATGAAACTATTATCAAACTTCTACGCATGCATGACATGTTCTCCAGGGAGATAGCAGAGGCAATTCCCTCAATCTACAAACACTAGCTGTCATTTATCAAGCATAATAATATATATTGTTCCAAAGGAATTTCTAAGGTAAATATTGGAATAGTTTTAACAATTTTGGTTTTTCAAGATAATTCCCAAGATATGTCAGTAAATGTAGAAGGCAAGTAATCATAAAAGCAAAACCTTATATAAAAATAGATGAAAGAAACTCTTATGTTTCATGCAAAGTGAAAGTCATACTTTTTTTTCTCTATTTCCTTTTCATCTTTTTCTTTTGTGTGGAAGAGTCGGTAAGCGGCTGGAATTGAGACCCTTCATTTTACTTTGTGGTTTAACTACACAGAAAGTGACCCTCTCCTGTGTAAATTTTATTTTTCAGAGAAAATAAATTAATTGCTGTAAACTTATTTTTTCAAAAACTTGCAGGAATTCTTTAACATGGGGAGAAAACTCAGCATATTATGGGAGGCACCTATTTCCAAATATCTCATCATATTTTCACGACTTCTAAAATAGAACAAAAGATGGACTGATGAATCTTTTAATTACTCCAACCAGTGTATTATTTGTCTGCCACAGAACAAGGCTGGCAATATAATATAAAGATGAATAGATGCATATTATGGGAAGTACCTATTTCCAAAAAAATCCAAGATATGATGTTTAAATAGAAGAAAAGATTAGGCCACCGAAAAATTTATATTTCTTCTTCCACAGCATGGGTGGCAAATACAATATGCAAATGATGGCCACCCACAGTGTTGGGTGGATCATCCAAAAAGGGAGTGGCCAAACCTGCCCCCTTAAAACAAAAGGTGATAGAGGTCACTATATTTTCAAGTATGAAAATAGAAACAAAGGAGCAGGAAGTGAAACCTAACCCATCAAATTTTCATTAAGAAATTACCTGGAGCCCATGGTCTCTTTTTGACATTGTCATGCTCAGCCTGCAGCTTCTCAACTTCATGTGCCATGGACACAAGGTTCTTTTCCGTTGCCTGACTCTGCTCCATTAGCTCAACATTTTCCGCCTTCTCATATTCAAACGCTGTCCTGAAAACACCAAGCACCAGTTGCTATAAAAAACGACTACCAACACCACTTGCTAAGTTTAATATATGCTTATATCTATCCACCAACATATTCAAGGAACATAAAACTAACTTCCCAGGGTATGGTAGTTACAAAACAAGAGTAAAGTAAAACCAACCTGGCTCTCACAAGCTCCTGGCGCAAACCATTGAGCTCAGCCCTCAACATAGGTACCTGTTGGTTCTCAACTTGTATCCTTGCCAAGTCCCCTGAGAGAGCTTGCACCCGAGCATTCATCTCCTGACGCGATGCATTCAATTTACCAGCCTCAGCATGCAACTGTATCACTTCTCCTTTAAGGGGCTCCATTTTCCTAAGATCAGCCTCGAGCTTCAAACCCTTTTGGATCAGGTCTCGTGTTTGCATCTCCTTCTCGGCCCTTAGTTTTGGCACAACTTGGCTTAGGACGTGTATCTCTTCCTTTGCAGCTGTGAGCTCACGTTCCAAGAGGTGGTTGTCTTCACCCAAGTAGTGGTTCTCCTGGACAAGCCTGCGGATCTCTTGGTGTTGGACCTCGAGCTCCTCCTCTATGGAAATGAGGTGGGGCCGGAGTGGCCCACGGGCAATGGGAGGGAGCCCCTCATGCATGTTGGGGTTGAAGCCTCGCGGACCCCCACCATTATTCACAAGGTGGCAAGGCATACGATGTCTCCCTGCCATCCTTATTATATCCTGTGCCACATGTATCAAACATTAGAATATAAGAAATTCTAGCAGAGAAAGAATAATACTGAATTACTGCTTCTCATCAATAAATAAATCAAGCAAAATGTAAGGATATACTCCTTTTAAACAGTATATGTGGGGTAAAAAAGTGCTGATATATCTATCTATTCCTATTCACAACTAAAATTCAGAGTAACGGATATACACATGCATCAACAGCCCTGCTCATACAATAAGCAGCAGTTTTGCATCATAATGCATTCTATGAAAAGTGAAATAGAAGTTATAGATAGGTACTAACCGGAAAATAGATCTGCAAAAAAATCAGTCAACTAATAGAAGCACAATAGAGTGCAATTTCAAACATGTTTTTATTTTTATTTCTATTTTTTTGGGGGGGGCAAGTTAGTTGGGGTGTGTGTGGGAACCCCACAGGTAATATTGATTGTAAAAGGGAAATATGTACATATTTGGGCCCATGACTATAGACTACATAGTCTATTGTCTGATTTGGAATGCGGTAAACCTGACACTAATATATTATGTTCTAATACTTCATACTCTTGCACCTACTCTTTACGTATATATCCAAGAAGAACCATGTCAAAGACTAAAAGAAATAACTTCTCACGGCTTGTGTGTTTTTAACTCTTTTCTTCTTCCCACTCTCTATTGAATTTCACTACACAAATGATGTTGAAGAATTGCTTTCACTTGCATTGGCCGAGTTGACTGTTTCTATCTTCCTTTGACTTTTTCCCACATTTCAAAATCACCATACTCCTTGTTTACTTTTAAAACTCCCGTGGCTGAGATTGGTGTAGGATAGGACCCTGTTCTTGTCTAACAGGTAGCACACTCAATTTCAAACATGTAACAATAAGCTGAGCTGAGCATTCTCTTTACTGACTTCATTTGCTAGGCCAATTGCTTATTGAATTCTTGACAAATTGAAGAGGAATGTCTATCATCATTGTTTGCAAGAGCCAATGATGATTCTAACAATGCATAGCACAAGCTTTTCCTTTCTTCCTTGTCTTGGAAGTGGTACACACTGGGATTAGAACCAATTGTTTATGTTTGTCTTTCACCAGGCCTCTGTTCCAGCAGTATAAACACATCAAATATACTTCAGTTTGTAAGAAGGTTTTGAGCAGGTGCCTATAGAAGTCTAGCTCATAGAAATAGGATACCACATGCCTGGTTTCTATTGCACACCCTTACACTTCTAACCCCTTTAGCTGCATCCTCTTTATAATGGGTTTTGACACCTCTAAACCATTTTTTTTGCATAGAATCTTTGTTTTTAAGTCCTTGTACCTTTTCATTCGCACCTCATAGTAACTCCAGAAGATGTTCAAAACGTCACATCCATCTTAATCTAACCCAAGGTACCCTCAAAATATGGTTCCAATTTCACACTGGCTTTCATTAAAAGCTTGTAGCATTAGGTTTAAGCATGATTTTTCCTTCGTCAATTCTTTGGGTTAATGTCACATTGATTTTTTTCGTTTCCAGAACCTGATCTTGATTTGAATTAGATAAATGCAGTCAATTAATTATTACTAATGGAAAAAGACAAGAACAATCTAAGCAATATGTATCTGACTATTTGTATGTGCATACCAGTAAATATGTACGAAATTAGTTAAGTTTTACATACGTATCCTGCAGGCATCTTACGTGTCCCAAGTCCTGAATCTTTTGAAAACTAATGGCTTCCAAATCCCAAACCATTCACACATTCTTACAACTTCTAACAAACTAATAATGATCAAGTGCTACATTGGATCCAAACTGCTCAATACTAATAATGATAATAGTGTTTTAAGAACCAGACGATTGTATTTCAGTTCTTCCAATCTTCGCACAAGTCATTTTGCAAGAGCATGCAAGCAAATATGGGGAAAATAAAGCAACCAATCAACAACTAATTTGGATAGGAGATCAAATATTACAAAGGACTTTAACAATCCAAGTTTGAATTGTTCAATCACTACATTAAAAATAAAAATAAAAACAAGAAACATAACTTGGTTTTTGTACCCAATAACTATTAATGGGTACATGAGTTATATTGATAGAGGTTCTCGAAGTTCAATTATCCAATTGATTGTAATCTGGAAGCAAGTTCCATTTACCAATATTTTTACTTTTTCCAAATTCACAAAACCACGTATCAAAGTAAACAAGAATCATGTCATTGAAAATCTTTTAGACTTTTTGTTATCAATAGAGTTAAGATTTCACAAATGAGTAGTGATACTAATAAACCAATATGGTGATATAATACATAATAATGGGCACGAATGGAACTTTGTGCCCTCCGGGATCTCTCTCTCTCACTCTCTCATTAACTGATGAAGAGATGTATTCATTTGGGACTTTTATTAACTATTATTCTCTACAAATTCCTTCGGGAACATTGTGGTCTCTCCCCTCTCAACCCTGTCAAGAATAAACTCTCTCAAGTCCCCAATTGTAAGTGCACTGAAACTCGTGAAAAAAAATTCAGGAACAAAGAGTAAGCATTCCTCATAGGCAATATTGCACTTTCAAGGAAGGAACCTTATTTCTCATAGGCAATCATGCACATTAAGTGAAGGAAACCTTTTCAACCACCGAATTCAACACACATCTTGTTTATTGTGTAATGTACTATCATAATTAGTATGAAATCCAACTTCTTCTTTCGCTCTCCTTGCCCTCTCTTGTTACCCTTCTTTGAAATTAGACATAAGCCACAGTTCAAAAAGTGCGTAAAGCTATGAACTGTAAAATGTATAGGAAATCATGGTATTTAGAAAGATTGTAGGTAATAAGAAAATGGAAACCCACACTCTATTGTATATGAACCAAAAAATGCGCAGTTGGAACTCACACCCAAAACATAGGATACTCGATTCGATGTTGGTGGAATCACGGTTCCGCATACTCATGAAACGATGATTTTCGATACAAGGATCTAGGTCCCATTAACATATGATCGAGATATCTAATTTCCCGAATCAAGATCATTAATATCAAGGAATCACCAGCAATTGAGATCCCGTATTTCAGAGCGTCGGTAACATTCAGGAGCCAAAGCAACCCCCCTTAGAAGATCTCGGTAACTATGATCTAAACTTCTCGAGAAAGGCCTTATCAAGGCGAGTCAAAGCCCATGTGTTGTACCCACCTTACGCCAAAGAAGATTGGGTCTTGAAGGAAGTGTATAGACAAAGGGCTACCAAAAAGATAACTATCAAAAGAAGATTTCTAATACCGAGGTTAGACGATATGCTTGACATGTTATCTGATTCTCAAGACTTTCTCCAATATAGACACCGAGGTTAGATGATACGCTTGACATGTTATCTGGTTCTCAAGACTTTCTCCAATATAGACTTAAAGAGTGGGTGCGTGGGTGCAATCAAATAAGAGTTAGAGAAGGAGATGAGTGGAAAACAACTTTTAAGACCAAGGAGGTACTTTAAGAACAGTCGGTTATGTCATTTGGACTCTCGAATGCTCCAAGTCTATTGGTTTATAGCATGGATGGTAAGACTCATGCTGAAGACTTGAAGGTTGTCCTACAACTTCAAAGACAGAATCAGCTTTACATGAACGTCAAAACCCCTTGCTGGAATTTTTAGTGTCATGGTATCGACTACGGGTGGTATGTATCATGGTGGATAAGCTGGAAATTTTAGGGTCGTGTTGTTGACTAATGGTGCAGGGTTTGATCAGTCCAAGGTTCAAGCTATTACAAGTTGGCCTACCCCAAAGACCTTGATAGTGAGGAGTCTCCATGGGCTGACCAACTTTTATAAAAGATTCATTAAAAATAACAGCACCAAAATGGCAACAATTACAAAATGTCTCAAGGGCGGAAGCTACAATTGAATTTTCAGGTTGAGGAGAGTTTTCAAGGGATTAGGAGGAGTATGACAGAAGCATCAATTCTAGCTCAATCATATTTTGATAAGGTCTTAGCATTGTTCAAAAACGGGATCGCCCAGCGCCTAGGCGGCCGCCTAGGCGCTCTAGAAAGCCTGGGCGCATCGCCCAGGCCTAGGTGGCCAAACTGGGCGTGGTCCCTGGGCGGCCGCCTAGGCGGTACGGAACCCGACTAGGCAGCCGCTCAGGGCCTACGCCCCGCCCAGAGGCGAAAAGTTTTTTTTTTTTTTCTTTTTTTCAAGATATAAAGTTTAGAAAGATGGGTTTTAGATTCATTTGAAACTTAAACCCACAAGAAACCCTTTTAGAGAGAAAGAAACCTCCAAAAAAACTACATTTCATTGGATCGAATCATCGAAGTGTTTCTCAAAGTTTGGAGTTCGAGCAACCAAAAAGTAAGTGCATTTTTTAGATTGCTTGTTTATTTTGAGATGTCTTCTTCAGGAATAAGTCAGAGTGGAGATCCAAGTTCGAAATATGGATACAACCCGAATCCAAATGACAAAAATTACATTAGATGCAATTTTTATACGAAAAGAGGCATAAATCGATTTAAGAAACATCTTTCCGGTATTAAAGGGGATGTTGCCCCATGTAAAATGTTCATGAAGCTATCAGAGAGGAGATTAAGCAATTTATAAGTTATGTAAAACAAAAACAAGAACAAAATCCTTGTCATAGATCTATTTCTGCTACTCTTTGAAAAAGTGATCCGGGTTGGAAGTATGGGTACAACCCAAAACCAAATGATAAAAATTGTATAAGGTGTAATTTTTGTGAAAAAAATACCAATGGGGGTATTAGCCGATTCAAAAAACACCTTGCTGGATTTAGAGATAATGTTGATTCTTGTACAAAGGTTCTTGAAGCAGTTCGGGATGAGATTAGACATCTTCTGAATTTTGAAGAACCAAAAAAGAATGAAAATAAGCCTTGTACTATGGAAGTATCTTCTCCAGATTCTAGACGGAGTGGTGATCCGAATTGAAAGTATGGTTATAACCGGAATCCAAGTGCTAAAAATCGTATTAAATGTAATTATTGTGGAAATGATACTAATGGAGGTA